GATACGTATACGGATACGGATACGTCAGATAGAACAATCTCTATTGGTGTGTGAATCACACAGACTTGTCACGTAGGCATATTTCATGAAGCGCGCTAGCGCTTCATGAAAAATATGCCTATGTGCAAGTCTGTGTGATTCACACACCAATAATTCACACTAAACTGAAAAACATTCTATGGCACGCCGATTGGTTCAAAATTAATGTATTTTCTGCACAACGATCAAGATTTTATACACGAGCTAGATGGAAAATATACACGAGTAAAATAAAAATGCACGTATAGGTAAAAATTGCACATAGTTTGAAAGATTTTAACACAAACATAACGAAAAATACACGAATCCGAAATTTTTTGCACGATTTAGGGGTATAATATGCACAAACAAAAAATGAAAAATTGCACGAGCAGAGGAAACTAAAAATTACACAAACAATTTTACTGCGCACACAGCTGCGCATATCATTATTATGCACATAGATTATTCATCGTGTTCTTGGTTTTCTGTACTCTTTATCTACTGAGCTGGATGTAATCGAGAATGGAAATTAAATGGCGTTGACGATGGCATGTGCTTTACTTTGCTTTTTTATTTCTTTTCTAAACCTCGATTTCTAGCTAATGCCAATTGAACAAATGAAGTGTTTCCATGTGATCTATATGTGAGAATACTTCAAAGTTTTTCAAAATATTATGTTTTTACTTGTATTGACCGAGATCCCAACTAATATATGGAGGTATTATTTGATGACAAAAATTGTGACAAGAAGGAATTGTATAATGCCAGGGACCTATATACATATAGGTCCCTGATAATGCGAGGTAAAAAAAAAACCACCATTGCATATGATGCTCTCGACTCCGAACTAAAAGTACCAAACGATAGTGCGGCTGACTAGGATCTTGATTTTCTTAAAAAATTGTTAGAATTATTTTTTTTTATTTAAATAAACTCTCAATAGCTTTTAAAAATTTCTAATTTATAGATACAACTTTAACGGAAATTACTTGTATAAATATAAAATTAACACTTGCATAATAAAAAGATTAATAAAGTTGATTATTCATTGAAATTGGCAGAATTATTGCTGATTATAATCATTAAGCTGTAATTTTGGTACTCTTCATTTGTACCTATTTTATTTTCTTTACCACTCGGAATAGGAAATTATATATACCTGTATTCATTTTATTTGATATCTATTTTTTTAACTTAAAAAACTTGGTATTACCTTAGATGTACACAGCATGTATTTTGATCTAACGTCAAACATAAAAAATATTCTAATAACACATGCATTCATACTTATAAATTATCAGGATATCAGTTTTGGTTGGAGATCTTTAGCATACTTTGTTATGAATTCCTTTCATTAAATATCATATTTTCAGTTATAAGCTACTCAATAAAAACAAGACATTTCTTGTAAGCGTTACCCTCATTCGTAATGGCGATTGCATGATAAATGTTTTCATTTTAATAAAAAGGATCAGATAAAAGGAGAATATATATACTCTATGTGCTTTATGTACATGCGCTTTTGTGCTTTGTTACTTTTAAAACATTGTGATTTACTAGGTACATCTATGCGTACAATGTTACAAATAGGAAGCAATAAAAAAAAATTAGAATGGATACAGCAGTGTAATAGAACGTATTTTATCACTCTGAAAAATGCAAAATTAATAATTTATGTTCTTTATGGAGCTCGATGTGTGGCAACTATTTTCCAAGACAACAAATTCCGTTTACATTTCAAATTAGACTTCATGATTTTTGAAATTATTTTCCAACCACTAAGTTTCTTGTAATATTACTTTTTTTTACCCAAATACATGTAAATGGCCATTATGAAAAAAAACATGATTATACTTGTATTATTATGAAACGAAATTAATCGTCAATCAGGCCTGTAGACCCCCATCCCCCTCATTTTTGAGTATAGATTTTGCTATAGTAAATTTTCCTTTACATGCTGGTTGACCCCAACCCAACCCCCAATTTTTAAATGTTGTTATGTCGAGCGCAGGCAAATCCCAGGATATCGTACCCTTAAATTCTTAAAAATATATTTCAGAAGGGACCTGCATCCCCCCTTCGTTTTTTTTTTTTTTTTTGGTTTTTTTGTTTGTTTGTTTGTTGTTGTTTTTTTTTTTTGCAAACAGAACCTACTTCCATTGTAAAATTTCAACTAAAAAGCCCCCTTTTTGTTGCTGGATTGGAACTGAAGGTGCCTCGATCATTACCTCAACGAAATAGGATTTTCGAGAATGGACGCTTTACCATTTTTTCTGCTTGTTAATTAGAATGTTTAGGTATAATTCCCCCCCCCCCCTTCCTCACTTTAAAAAGCGATACTAAATGTGTATCAGCATAATATAATTTTAAATTGTTTAACTCCTTTATATGCATTTTACCTATTCAAAATAATCTACACTAGAAAAACAGAAATTCACATAAGTAAAACACTGTATAATTTTACTACGAGTTATTTTTAAAAAAATGATGGATTCTTTTAATATTAAAATTAAAGTTGCGCAATTATTTATTGTTTTTTTTTTTTTTTACTGTTTACTTCTAAAAATGTATCGGGCAAATTCCACAACCCAGATGGCAGCAACATTGCTTCAAAATCTCTGAATGAATTGCTAGTAACCTTCAATCAAAAGGTATTATTGATGTGTCAAATAACTATAAATCGATTATCGTACAGGTGTCTTTCATTCCAGCACCAGCAGGGAGCAAGGAATCTCTCGATATGAAAAGGCCACGCATCCACAACCTTAATTATTACCATAGTACACTCAGTGGGTGTTTGAGAAAGAGTTTCATTTGTTGTTAACTCTCCTGTATTACCTCACGCTGTTTTTATTTATTTACCTTTACTATGATATTATCATTGTTTTGAACTTTCAAAAGATATTGCTATATAGAGGAATGACATTAAAAAATCTAACAATTAAACACACAACTGACAATATAGATATCCACACCCCCACTTTTTACATTTTATATACATGTAGAATGTATTTTTAATAGAGGGGTGTTAATTTATATGCATATTGTGTACCTGTCAATTTTTAAATGTATAAAACACAATGTGCATATTCTTGAGAGTCTAACGTAATTCTGAAAGACTGAATCTTTTTTAAAAGATTGAATATAAATATTGTTAACACATTTACTCATCCTCTTGTTTTATAATGTTTCAAGCATCCAAGCCACACTGAGCTGTTCTCTAATGAATATTAATGAAATGTGCGCAATGAGGATGCGCCGTATATAATGTCGCTGTTGTATTCTCACTTGTGCAGTTTTCGTTTTTACGTTTGTGTAATTTTCTCATTATATCGTGTAAATATTTTCTTGATTGTGTAGTTTTTGTATAGTTTGTGTAAATTTTAATAACTTTGTGTGTATTTTCCGCACTTTGTGTAAGTTTTTACTTGCTCGTGTAATTTTTGTTTAAGGTCGTGCAGAAAATATTTTTGAACCAATCGGCGTGCCATAACATTCCTTATATTTACATTTAACCTGTTTGGAGGCAACCAAAATATACTCAATATTTGAATTTCTCGCTGTCCTATATTATTGCTTTTTACTAACGTCGCTGCAGTCTCATTGTGACGTCACGTTAACGCACGTTTCTCCGTATATTTCTACGCGTGAGTATACACGAAAATGTTTTTCAAATCAATTTCACAGTAAGCTTACTAGAAAAACACAGCGAATGTAAATATTGGGCTTTTGTATTCAGTTGTTGAACATAAAAAATGCCATAAAATAAAGTTTAATATAATTTCAAAATAGCTGTGATTTGTTCTTCATTAAAAAGTGGGGGGCACAGACATACCCTTGCCCCCCCCCCCCCCCCGATCTGAAGGGGGGGGGGGGCTAGTGCCCCCCCGCTGCCCCCTTGTGACTACGCCTATGCGATTACTATATACCCTCCCGCTTTTCAAACGGGGGTATGAAAAAGCGAAATCTATTGAAATCTCATATATAGCTATACATGTACATTGTTACGCGTAGAGGAAACTAGTTGTAATCTCATGGCTTTAGGAAGTGGAGGAGCACGGGAGGGGGTAATAATAATTTTGCCGATGTGTAGAATACTAAAGAAAACAAAATTAATTTCGTTATGTTTGTGTTCCTTCAATGATAACGTCCTAGGGAAGATTAGATGCAACCATTCTTGGGAGGAACATCAATACATGTATATCCTGAGCTTGGTTTGGGGTTCATCAAGTATCATGTACTTATACATGTTATAGAAAGTGAACAAGTGTTTCCATTTACATGTATCTAAAATATTTTATTCAAAATTTAATTCAATATCGATTTAAATACTAATAATACATAAATAGGTAAACATGTACATGTAGATAAAAACATAATGATTGTATACATGAGTGTATACATGCAATAATGGATCAAATAATGTGCTATTTTTGATTACAAGGGCGTGCTCTTCAAATGAAAGGGAATTATTCCAGCATGTGTACCATCTATTTCGCCAGCTCCAGTTTTGTGAACGGACATTTCAATATACAGTGTACTTTGGACTAATTTTGACACATTTTTACCATTTATTGAAATCCTAGTAATTCCATGCAAATTAAAGCAGTTTTAACCTGGAGAAAACCCAATCGTCTATATACATATACTAGTAGTTCATCGGATATTCTCTCCCCAAACACATTTTCTCCCCCCATGAGAAACCTTGGATATTCACACAGGCAAGTATATTGATATAGACAGAACTTAGTCCCAAGTAGGCTTTGTGAAACGGGCCCTGGTATCTTAAATCCTGCATGGGGATGAGCTTTGAAAGATGAAAGCTACAGATCCAACTGTCAGAATTCTGGCCAAGATTCAAGTTTTGTGGATATATAAACAAGCACAGATAGACCAAAATCTATATTTTATATGTCGTGTGTATATGTTCTGGAATCTCCAACTTTTGTGGTATATATCAAATAACAATGTCGGTAATCTAAATACGTGTTTCTTTATTAACAAAGCAATAATAATTTAAGTAAATAACAACATAATTCTCTCTGGCTAACAAATAATTGTAAACAAAGTAGAAAAAAATCTTAACCATATATATAAATGTTAAATGTCTAATAATGATCATTAAACACCCAAAATATCGGTTCTACATGTATTAGACCAGTTAAGTGCAAATCTACAAATCCTTCAAATTTGCTTAATTCATATTCCAGTTTATTGTAATAAATGATGGGAAAGTCTGAATTACTTCATCAGGTCAATTCCAAAATGTTCAGGTCAAAGTGCAATTTGTATAAAACAGTAGTCTTGTATGTCTATGAAAATAACAAAGTGCAATATAATTTGAATGCCAAGTATTGGAGATAAATGTACTAATGAGTTACAACAAAGTGTGTACAATCTTTTGTTGAATGAAAAATATGATTTCATCTTTTTTGTTTAAAATTAGAGTTTAATATGTTCAATAACTGGAAATGTTTATAATAAGAGAAAAAATATCTTTTGCAAAAAATATCAGCCTGATTGTGTTTTATATAAGGTAATCATGAAAAATCCTTTATCTGTGAAACCTATAAATACAGCACTGTATACATATATCACAGAAAGTTTAGCCATAATGTTTTGTTCCGCTTGCTCCTATTGATAGTTTTACATGTGAGCAAGTAGTCAAACCTCATTATTTAAAACTCAATTGGAAAAAAAAAATCAAGATATCCTAGCATTCGAGGGTAAAATTCTTAAGGAACAAGTGGGTTGGACTTCATAATAATCACTTCTAAATATCAATGGTATGTTCGAGATATCAGAGTTTGGGGCATTAATGAAGTTCAACTGTATAGTTCTAGTATTTGGTTTTAAATTGAAATACATTAATCTCAAGTAGCTATATTCAGAACAATGCTGTAATTTTCTACTGGAAAAAGAGCTTAATTTGGATTCCTGATCTTTACAATTCAAAAAAAGTTATTATATCTTCCCAGAAGAATCTAGCATTTTAGTTCAAAACATTCTCCTTTCCAATTCAGTTAATTTTTATTTTATAGCTATGCAACTAGCTAGTTCATTTTATGTGACTATAAACTTGGAAATAAATTAAATTAATCTACCTCGAGATCATTACTACTCAAAGTCTTATATTTGGGAGGGTGTATACCACAATATACAATTAACAAATACTTCTAATAGACAAAAAGGACAGGTAATCCTGGAATGTCATAAACACATACATACATGGTAAACAAGTTAAACAAAAACAACTGTAAAATGCTGTTAAAAGGTATTGCACATGGAGTGTATATCACAATAAATTGACTACATGCAATTTATTTTTATGGTGTTACATGTAAGCATGCCCTGCTTATAAACTGAGGACTTCCCTTAAAACATACATGTTTTAATATTTATATTACACAGTGTACTTATGACAACAAGAATAGCTAACCCATCATCAACATATGGCGAAAAATGAAATATGAGATGTCAGAACAACAAACACTCAGCTATTATGCTACTGAAATTTGCAGTCAATATACAGTTTCTAAAAATCACAGCCAAACATCAATCTCTTTTGTTCATGTCAAATAAATCCACAGAACTTTATGACAACCTGGAAAATAAACAATCACACAAATATTGTAAGACACATCACAATATCAATCACAAGAAAATATTAATTTGTTTTATACATGTATTCTTTACTTTATACAAACATTGAAAACAATTCTTTACTCAAAAACTTCCATGAGACTTTGTAACTTACTACTTAGATCTGCTGTCTGACAATACGCTCCATACGATCCTGGATCCACCTCAGTATTTCAGAGTTTGGACTAGAGATCTCTATTGTACTCCCAGAGAATAAGGAACCCTTCTTGTCCTTCAAAAGCAAAAACAACCAGTATTTTTAACTACCCTGAATGATTTCATATCTTTTAGTCAAGATATTTTAAACTGTGGTAATATTTCAAATGCGTTTTTTCTTCTATACTAGGAGCTTGATGTTATCATTTCTTAAATGATGCATATACTTGTGATCACAAAATAAATTTGGTTTTTCTATAGTCAAATTGATACAAAACTGAAGAAAATATATATTCAAATTCAAAGAATATTCACACTGTATAAAAGTTAATATTAGTACCTTGTGCCAATAATTATAACTTGGTTATGAGTTTGTATACTTGATTACTAGTGTATCTTCAGTGAAGTCCTTAGACAAACCTACCTTGAGAGTGAGGACTATTTTATTTTCTGTCACCTCTGGAATTCCCATAATCCTCTCCCTCTCTACTTCCCACTTCACGTCATACCCCGGGGAAAATCGATTCTTTGACAAGCTCAAAATTGTCCTGTCAAAAAACATCATACAAACCATTAATTTTCATATTATATTTTTCATCTTTCATAATCAAAAGCTCTGGGTATTTACATTCATACATTATGGAAATTAATTAAAATTTAATAAATTGTTATAACACCAAAGATATTTCATAAGCAATATTATACCGGGAGATTTAATCCCAAGCATCTTGTTTGAAATTTTATGAGGCAAAGAATCAATACCCTGTGTGCATTTTTAAGTTAATGATTTTTAATGTAAGTGTAAAAGAGAACTCTTGACCTGTCTGTGATGAACAGGAGGTCTGCTCTGTCATCATAACTCAGAGGAGCGAAGTCTACAAAGATCCCGGAGGATCGCTGCTCATCCCGGAGTCTGTGTAGGATAAAGTTACCCTGGGCCCTGTACCACGAGTAGGGCTCTAAACCCTGGAAGGAAAAATCATATTGTATCTAATGTACTGAAGGCCGAGTATGGTTTTATCATTAACCAACTTGAAGATACATACATGTATTTGCATGGTTTTATTTGAGACAAGGTTACATAATTATAAGAATTCAGCTTTTGAACTCTTATCAAATGTTAAAATAATCATGTATTGTTTAATTATACAATATCAACAAATAAAGAAGTGGAAAACAACCTACATGATAGGGGTTGATAAACCTGGGTAATCTCATTCTTATGGCTACTACATCATTCTCAGCAGACCTGTCAAAAATAGAAGAAAGATCCACACTCATCAAAGGATTACTTATAGATACCATAGAGGTTAAAATGTGTATAAAATGGAAAAGTTATACTAATGGTATAATTTTTCAAGTATGCAGAAAAATGACAAATCAGAGTATCTTATATTCAAAACACATTTATAATGGATAACAGAGAATGTAAAACAATGTAAAAATGTGAAATACATTTTCCTCACAAAAAAACATCAACCTTAATGTTAATTATATTTAACAGTATTAAAGACATTATATTTTTACACATGAAAGGTATTGAGGGTGTATCTTCACATATCATTTTATAATATCATCATTGTTTTACCTGCGGACACCATCGAAGGCCAGACTGACCATGTCCATCACACCTCCAAGGGGCTGAGTGACCAGTCCCAGCAACCCCTTACCGATCCCCTTAAAGAACCCCTCAACACCCTCCTCTGAAGCACCTGAAAATAAATACAGAATATATTTTTTAACACAATATCAACACAAGGGATTTACATGCATTATGTTACATATTATTATTACATTTTATTCCATTTATACGCATTCATTAATTTTCCAACTGTATGTTTAATGAATTCCTGAAATACCTTTTAAAAGAAATTCAAAGCTTCTAGCTGTACAAAGTAAGTTAAAAAAATAATACAATGATCTTTTTCTTTTAAACAATTAAATATTTCTAATGTTTTTATCCATTTTACCTTTTTCTGAAACAATAATTCTAAATAACTGATTTACAATCTAATAAAATTGTATTTTTAACATATTAAAAACCTGAGTCCTCTCTGGTTTCACCAGTAAGGGACTAATAAAAATACAGCCTACCATGTACAGGATCTAGCACCACCCCTAGGAGACCAAACTTCATCCCTGACAAGAAACCCTTCCCCGCCATGGCCATGCTGTGTGGGAGATTCCGGGGCTGCTGCTGTAACCGACGCACTCTCCTCTACAAGGTCATGAGAAAGGTCAAACAAATCTATATTTATCTCAACATATCATGTACATTCTTGATTTAACATTTACATGTGAATTTAAGAGCAAATGCTGCTGTGACCTCCAAAATTCTCTCTACAAGGCAATTTAAAGTCAAACAAAACCAACTCTACATGTCTTAGTTGAATGTTATATAAAGAGCAGGTACGTGCTCAAAGGAAAGTTTTTTGAAACACTTTTGATGTTTGAATTCTTGAAAGATCTGAATGATAATACATGTATGCCTTATTAGGATTATTTAAACACAGTGATACTGTCTTGTGTATATGCACCTTAATAAGTAACAACACCTATCCACCTGAGACAATTTCATTTTATTTCAATGTGACTTGTTTGAAGCCAAAATAAAGTGCCGCGCCACAGCATGATACGCCCGTCAAAAAATTACAATTTTCTTGAACAGTTTAGGTACAAGAAAATCACATCAACCTTTATTCTAAGATTTTTCCATTCCTTAAAATATTTATCCATCCCCTGTGATCTAGGCATCAATTATAATAAATTTTACATCACTGATAGATTTCTGTGCTGGTTGTGTTAGACCTTGTCAAATGCCCATCATCAAATTAGTCTTAACAACTTAATTTATACCAAATTAATTTTGAAAAAAAGGCTGGCCATCAAATGACATATTTATAAACTGACCAGCAGTTCTTCTGTATAATCCCCAAAGGGCTGCTTAATCACTAATCAGAGCGACTGAGACAGCAAGCCTTCCTACACTGAACTCATTAATTAATCTTTAACTGGATGCTTGTCTACTCATTACTACCAAGAGATGAATGGGTCTGCACTATCTACTATAATTTTTTTTCAAAAACATATAAAATACTCTCAGATTTTTTTGGGTTGAGATTTAATGTCCGACAGGTTTTAGTATGTAATTCATATGGACATGCTGATTCAACCCCACCCCATAAAATTAGTTTTTAAATTAATAAATTTACATAATATCAGATTAGTCTATTATGCAATATCAAATTAGTTTTAATTACTTTTCATCAAATTCATTTCAAAACTTAAGCTAGTCAACAAGAGCTATTTTTAATCAAACAGGCTTACCCATTTGCCCAATTCTCAAGGGATATAGATAACGCCAATGCTCTGTCAGTTAACTGCTGCACTCAAAACCCATTAATTTCTCTATAATTTGACATGCAATTTTCTGTTATCAAAATTCTTCTTGACCAGTGCCTGATAATTACACTCATGGGAGACATGGGATTTCTCTAAAGCCCTATTTACACGATCTGATTTGTAAGATGTGACTTGCCACATCTTACAAATCATATCATGTAAATAGGAAAATCAGAAGACAGATATGAAGTCAGATGGAGTCAGATGGAATAGAAACATGCTCTATTCTGTCTGGCAAGTCAGATGGTTTTAACCAATTATTGACAAGGTCAGAGAGGTTGATCTATATAAAGAAGAACTAACATGTGAATTTTTCCCGCACTTCTTCTCCAAAGATAATTCAATATCAATTAATCTTATTTATTGTAATTAAAATGTGGGGGAAATCCTGAGAGGACATTTTCTATTGGCTGGACAGAAGAGAGAACTGTATTTAACTACAGAACAAACTGAAAGATTAGTAGAACTATATCAAGAAGAAGTAGATTTATTAAAACACAAATGGCTATTAAATTATCATCATCATCCATTCTGAAATGTAAACAAAAAAAATTTGGAGGGAAATATTAATGAACTTCATGTCTGACAAATCATACCGTGTAAATGAAACACTGGAGTCAGATGTGAAATCACATCTGAAATCATATCTTACAAGTCAGACCGTGTAAATAGGCCTTAACACACATTATATTTGTTTTAGATTGCTGTCAAGTATATGCTTAAAAAAAATTAGTATTTTCTTGATTTAACACTTTTTTAATAAGAACAGTGCAATACTTTTACATTATTTGGGATGTGTAAATGAAAAGTAAAAAGACACATTTTTTTTTAACTTCACTTAAATTAAAGGTCACAGTGACCTTGAAATACATGTAGGTCGCGACACACCTTCTACCTAAGATGCATAAACTGGCCAAGTTTGATGATTGTAGGTCTTATGGTTTTCTAGTTATGGGCCGGAAAGGATTTTTCCATATTTGGCTATAACTTCTTAATTAAAGGTCAGAGCAACCTACTTTTTGTGCGCGACACACCTTCTACCCAAGATGCATCAGATGACAAAGTTTGATAATCCTAGGCCTAGTAGTATTAAAGTTATGAGCCGGAAACGAAAAAGCTAACAGACAGACGGACAGACGGACGGACACGAAGCCTATAACATAATACGTCCCGTCTTAAGACGGGCGTATAAAAAATTATAATATGGAGCAGAAAGTCCCTACCTTCTGAAACTCATCATCCATGGATAAGTAAGCCAGAGTGTTCCCCAGAGTTCCTGTAATCCTAGCCACAGAGTTAGCTGTACCTCCTGTAAAACCAATCAGATTCACATAAAAGACAGGGCCTATCTTCCAGAAAATCACAGTTTATGACTATTTTAAACTAGCAACTATAAAGACTGAGAAGGACATTTCTCTTACCTACAATATGTCCCATGGCATTCTCAAATCCCCTGACCATGTTACTGGTGAAGGCATCCTCTCCTTGTATTGTGTCCTGTTAATCACACAGAAAATGAGATCAAGGTTTTCATATTCACAATAAATTTTATTGTTTTGTTTAACACTTGTCTTCTACTAGATTTCATTTGAAATAGTATGTCCCATGATAATAAACTTTCAATTTAATTACTTCTGTGCAGTTTTTAAACAAAGATTTAATTTGTACTCCTTACTGGGACCACAGAAAAGGAGTCCAAATTCTGGCCTGTTTCATGAAGTTTGTGGTGGCACCCCAATATGTCATTGAGTCAAAAAAATACTGAGGAGGAAAAAACAACCTTACCAGCAGAGGCTCATAGAAAA